GGTCTCTGGAGGTCGAGCGGTGCCGACAGATGGGAGGGGGCTCTTCACCCCAAGTAGGGTGCAGAGGACTCCAGCGTGTCCCCTGCACCGCAACTGGACAGCCGGCTCCTGAGCAGGGTTGGAGTGGGGCCCCTGACCCCCGCTCTTGGCAGGAGCAGAGGAAAGTTTGACGGGACCAGCTGTGGATTCCTCCTTCTCGAACCCTCTGGGCCATGTGGTGACCCTGTGTGGCCGTACCTGGGCCAGCTATAGTGACAGAAGGAGGAGCTTCCAAGGCCAGAGGGCCGTGCCCTGTCAAATGCCCAGCTGGCCGAGAGGACACCCAAGGGCTCCCAGGGCAAGAAGTTCTTTTTTTTGCGGGGGACTGTTTTTTGGTCTTTTTGAGACAGGGTCTCACTATGCAGTTCAGGCTGGTCTTGAGCTCACTTTGTAGCCCAGGCTGGTCTTGAACTTGCAACAATCCTCCTGCCTCAGCCTCCCAAGTGCTGGGATTACAGGTGTGCGCCACCACGCCCAGCCCTCCTTGTTTTTTAAACTTTATAAAGAGGTTCATTTGAGCTCATGCAAAGTCTGGGGCCACATCCTTGATGGTCTCATTGCTAACAGGGCCAAGGTGACAGAGGGCCTCATGTGACAAAAGACAGGGTGTGTGTGCGTGGCAACAATGGTGTCTACCACACAAGAGTTTTAAATTGTGGTGGCACTAATTGCACCTTGCTTTCTCGCGCTGCTTGCCGCACTCTCGGTGCTGTGCCTGAGGATCTGAGCCCAAGTCGAGATGGGGAGCCTGTGCCTCCGGTCCCCTGCGAGGGTCTATCGTTTGAGCTCTGACGTGAACGCTGAGGTCCTCGTCCCCCATCTGTGGCGTGAGGTGAGGCCGCATCTTCCTTCTGGGTGTGCAGCTGCCCAGCGCCCCGCCGAGGAAACCCCCTCTCCTTGCGGCACGGTCTTCCGCCCTTCTTGGAAACCAGCCGGCCTGCCACGTGGCTGTTCCTGGGCTCTGGCTGGAGGTCCCTGGTCTATGTTGGCCGCTTTGAAGGCCTGGGAGAAAGAGTCAAAAGGACACAGCCCCAGCTCCTTAGCGAGACAAACTGTGGAATGCAAACACACGCTTCTCGCCATATTGGATTGACCCAGGCAGAACGTTTTGGGATTCGTAACTTTCTGACCCAGCGTGTCCTATCCGCACCTCGACTGCTGGGCGGCTGCCGTTTCTGCGTTACTCCTGAGGCGACCCCGGCCCGGGGAGGTGCCCACCCACGTGAGGAAACCGCGTCTCCTCCTCCACCCAGCTGTCCAAGGCCGATAAGCACCAACCGACTCCTTGAGGCCTAGAAGTCGCTTCCCCCGGGCCGCCAGCAGCGCCGTCTCATTGGTGCCCTTCCGTGTCCCTGCAAGCCCTCCTACAAGGGAAGACTGAACCCAACTGGGTATTCTGGGCGAGAGGAAGCCCCTTGTTGCCCTGGTGACAGCAAATGGGAGCCGGCGTCCGGGTCAGCACCTGTCCCGGTGCTCCCGCCCTGTTTGCAGCCGGCTGGCAGGCGACCCAGGCCGGCGCTCCCCTTCCCTGCTACACCCCTCACGGGACACCTGGGGGCGGGTAGGACTCGCAGCCCTGAGTGACCGCAGTCTGTGCCCCGCCCTGTCCCCGGTGGGCTTGCAGGCACGGCCCGAGGCTGCCTCGGCACTTGGTCAGAACTGCTGCACACAGGTCTGTCCCGTCTTAGCTCCTCGCGGTCCTGGGAAAGTCCTTTCCACCTGCCGTCTCCTGTCCACTCCCGGGTGTCATTAGGGCTGGGGCCGGGGGCAGTGGCTCGCCCGAGAGGAGGGGCAGAGGGAGCAGAGCCTCTCTTAGGGGGCTGCTCTTTGGTGTCTAAGTGCCACATCTCTGGCCAGACCTCAGGGACACACAGTGACAGACACGTGGCCAGGTCCTGTGGTCCACTGGGGGTGGGCAGTGTTGGCTCAGGGAAGTGAGTCTGTCCCGGGTGCGGGCAGAGCCAGCTGCAGGGCTCAGCAGCTGGCCTGGGCGTCCACTTTCACTTCCTCTGGAAACCCCGTGCTGGGCCTCCCAGGCTTCCCCTGCGTGGTGTCCTCAGCCTCCTCGGAAGAGCAGGGTGCGGGTGGGCTCCAGGGCGGACGAGGCGTCCCGGGGCCCAGCGTGCGACTGCTCCAGGGTGGACTTTGGAGCAGAAGGAAGTGGCAGAGCAGAGAAGCAAAGGAGTCACGGGGCTGCACCAGGCGGGCTGGAGGGGCCGCCCAGCGCGTCCTGTCACCCCCCAGCGCCCCTGCCCGCAGCTGTGCTGGACGGAGCCGGCGGCTCGCAGTGGTGTTCATGGCTGAGGGGAACCAGCTGGTCACGGCTCCCTGGGCGTGGCTGCAACGAAGTCCCCAAGGCCCACGGCTGGCCCGGGCTGGGGACACCTCCTACTCCACACTGCGCCCACAACTGGAGATTGCGTTGAAGAGCACGGTGCCCGCGGCACCCCTTCCCCACGGCTCCTCCCTGCAGGAGCATCAGCAAACCACCCCCGGCCAGGCTGTGCCCCCAGGAGCTCACCGGCTGGGGACCTCGCCGCGGCACCCAGGGGACCCGGACACCAGAGTCACAGCCGGGGCTGAGGCCGCCCAGCCGTCACCTTCTCGCCCGTGGCGCTGCCAGCCGGGCTAGAATCTCTCTTTACCAGGGTGGAGGCGGGTGTGGGCGGGGCTGCTCAGAACCCCTGCTGGGGGTGCCCGCCAGGGCCAGCCGGCCTGTGCGTGTGGGATGGCGCCTAAGGGACAGAGGTCGGTCGGCCCCAGAGCTTGGGCTAAGTCCCGTCTTCCTCCCTCTGGTTCCCTCCGGTCCAGGAGCTGGGCCCTCGCCGCTGGGCCCGACCCAGACGGGGCCAGCACTGGGACAGGAGGCTCCCCCGGCGTCCCCGGTTCCCCGTGAATGGAGTCTCATTAGAGGTGCGGTGAGGAAGCTCCAGGCCCTGAGAGCCACGGGCACCATGGTTGCTAAGCCACTGTAACGCTGACGGTTTAAACGCTGTCACCTGGGAGAGCTAAGGGCTGTGTGGGCCGTTTGCGGGGGGACAGGCTGCAAAACAAGGGCCAAGGAAACAGCGGGACCCTGAGAGCACCTGGGTAGGTGACAAAGTGCAGTCACAGCCGGGCGAGGTGGCGCACGCCTGTCATTCAGCACTCAGGAGGCTGAGGCAGGGGCACTGCCATGAGTGCGAGGCCAGCCTGGGCTACACAGTGAGACCCTGCCTCAAACGCACACACACAATAAATACACAAACAAATAGAATGACAAAGTGCGGTCACATACGTCATCGACCCTCACAGTGACCTTGGAGTGAACTGAGGGATCGCACAGCCTCTCTGGAGAGGGGAGAGAGGGGCCTCGCCCAGTGGCTGCCCACACCCGTGGGCCACGCTGGGCGCTGTGCTCTCATTAGAAAGTAACTAGCACAGCGCAGCTCACCAAAAAGCAGTCAGCAGAGTCACCCTGGTGTCCATGAACAACCGCTTCCCCTGTAAAACAAGGGCCAAACCCGTCTTCCGGAAAGCATATTCGTCTATTTATTATGGAGCCAGGGCCTCACTATGCTGTTCAGGCCGGTCTTGAACTCACCGTGCAGCCCAGGCTGGCTTCAGACTCACGGTGATCCTCCTGCTTCAGCCTCCCAGGTGCTGGGATGGCAGGCAGGCACCACTGTGCCCACTGGAAAGTGCTTTTATTTCTCTGTATACTGAAAAAAGTGGTGGCTCGTCATTAAAGACCTGTCCGGTGGTCAGCTTCCCCTCACCTTCCCCCAGAGCTTGCAGGAGGTTGAGGCAGGGCCAGAGTCCCTCCTGGGCCTGGCAGCCGTGGTTCTCCCGCCCCGGGCGTGGGGCGGGACAGTGCTGACTTTCTGCCCTGGGCACAGGTTTTCAGCTGCATTAAATCAGACACGTCAGGAAGTAATGTTTTTAAGACGCTCAGATGGGAGAGCAGATGGGGTATGACAGCCCTGCCTGGCTCAGGAAGAACGCTGCTTCGGGGTCCGCTAGCCCGGGTGCGAGCCTCCCCAGCCCCAGCCTTTGCCTCCGACCTGACACTCGGGCCTGGAGCAAGGGGCTGTACTGTTGGTTAGGAGCCTGCTACACCCCAGAAGCCGCCTGGGCTGGGGTGAACAACGTCCAACAGGAGAGGAAGAATCAAGGTCAGTAGAAGATGAGGAAAGTTGAAATTGTGAAATTGTACTTTTAAGGAAAACTGCAAAAACAACAACAAAAAACCTCATACCTTCAGGATACAAAAGCGACTCAAGCCTTTCTCCCTGCCAGGAAGCTCACACCAAAACAACCCCTGAGGTGGTGCAGCCACTGTGGACGGCGTGCTGCTCCCCTGTGAGCCGCGGGTGCTCCTGTGGGGAGTGGGCGGCGAGCCTCAGACTCTGACACACACTGAGAGCGGCTACCACACCCTAGGTCACCGTGAGGACGCACGTCCGAGTGAACCCCAGCTCGTACCACAGCGCTCCTCTCCCTTAAGGGCCCACACTCCAGTCTCCCTGCCTAAGCCAGATGTGGAGGCACACCTGTCATCCCAGCACTTAGGAGGCTGAGGCAGGAGGATTGCTAGGAGGTCAAGACCAGCCTGGGCTACAGAGTAAGAGCCTGTCTCAAAAAACAAACAACAGATGAACAAAAATTCTATGCCTCTTTATGCCTCTCACTGTGCATCTGGAAAACTCTCGGTGCCAGAGACAGCTGTGTCCAAGCCACAGGGCCCGGGCGTCGGTGCCAGGGCCAAGGAAAGACTGGGTGTGGGCCGCAGGGACCAGGGCCGGGTAGCGCTGAGGCCGGACAGACCTCAGCGAAGGCGCAGATAAACTCCAGTGCCGGAGGTGGAGGGCAAGGGGGCGGGTCTGAAGGAGCTGCGTGCTCAATGGCAACCAACGGGTCCAGAGACATTTAAATCCACAAACAAGCAAAGTGTAAATGACGGGTAAAAATATCGCAACATACATCTCAGACAATATTTATATATTGAGTATAAAATGTACTAGTATTTCCACTATAAACCGCGAGCTTCTGAGATCCAAAAGGCCAGCGCTCTGAACCGACACGGAAAGACGCCCGGCCTTGCTTAGAGAGAAGGAAACGCAAGTTGGGCCGAGGAGCTGTTTCTCACCGACCACGCTGGCCCAAATCCAAAAATCAGACAGAACCCTCTCTTGTCCGGCCAGTGAGGAAAGCAGCGCTCGCCTCAGCGCTGTGGGATGTGACGTGGGCCGTCCCGGCGGGAACCGGGCAGTGTGCCAAGCCCCGGGAGCCTCTGCCCTCTGTACCTGCAGCACCCTGGGCGCCTCCCCTGCGGGCTCCCTGCGGGCGACGGGCGGGTTGGGAGGAGGCTCTGTGTCAGCTCCACTGTGACGGCCATGTCTGTCGTCAGGAAGGGCTGGGGAGTAAGCACGGCACCCCACACTGCAGAGTCTGCGGGCAAGAAAGACACAGCTCACGGGCGAGCCTTGGGCCACCGTCACAAAAGAAAAGCAAGGTGGACGGGGGTACGTCATGGGCTCAGAAACAGGTATTTATCTACGAAGGGAGGATTAAAAATACATATACACATATTTATTTCTGTCTTTTTTTTTTTTTTTTTTGATCTTTTTGAGACAGGGTCTCGCTATGCAGTTCGGGCTGGCCTTGAGCTCACTTTATAGCCCAGGCTGGTCTCGAACTCACAACAATCCTCCTGCCTCAGCCTCCCGAGTGCTGGCATTACAGGTGGGACCGGGCCCCTTCCCAGCCCAGGGCAGGCCCCGGTGCTGGAAGGGGCACAGCCTAAGGCAGTGCATCTGGGCACCCTGATGGAGCTGTGCCTGCACTCCTCCTAGGTACTGCACATTCACCATTCATCTGCTCTTGCTACTGCGACCTGGGTTTTATTGTCCAAAGGCCAAGTCAGCCCAGCTGATGTGGGGTCTCCCAGCTCTACCCATGCACCCAGGGCCACACCCAGAAGCCAAGTGACATCTCTTGTGACATCCAAGTCCTTCACAGGCCCTCGGGTCTGTGCCTGACGGACACCAGCAGGCTAAAACCTGGGAACCTCGAAAAGCAGTCAGGCTGGGCGTGGTGGCGCACGCCTGTAATCCCAGCACTCGGGAGGCTGAAGCAGGAGGATCGTTGCAAGTTCAAGACCAGCCTGGGCTACAAAGTGAGCTCAAGGCCAGCCTGAACTGCACAGCGAGACCCTGTCTTAAAAAGACAGAAAAAAAAAAGTGGTCAGGGAGACAGGCTGGGCCTCCCACACACACCCTCCACAACCCTGGCAGCAGACAGCGACCCCACGTGCCAGGAGCACCGCCTGATAGGCCCACAACAAGCTCACCTCGTGGGGACACCCACTGAGCCCCCTGCCGGGTCGGCTCCTGGAAGCTGGATCGGCACAGCGGGCTGGAGAGAGGGTCTTCCATAGCCGAGGGGACAGTGTGGGGTAGGAAGGGCCTGAGGGGGACTGAGGCAGACCGGCAGTGCTCGGGGGAACGGGGGCTGAAGGAGGGTGGCAACCAGAGGGCGGGCAGCCACAGCCCGCTGCCGCCTGTCAGGCCACTGAGCCCAAGACCCGCTGGTGGACTCTGAGGGCCCCACCCTCGAGGCCGGGTTGGTGGCTGTCAGGGAGAGACCCTAGGAACAGGGTGTCTGGGAGTCCTGCTGACCTAGGGGTGAGAAACCCCAGCCTGAAAGATATCTGGGATGAGTTTGTGTTCTCTAAAATCGACGAATGAATCTTAGGAACAACGGAGGTTAAGAGCAGAATGTAGGGCATGGTGGTGCACACCTGTAATCCCAGCACTAGGGAGGCTGAGGCAGGAGGATCATTGTGAGTTTGAGACCAGCCTGGGCTACAAAGTGTGCTCAAGGCCGGCCTGAACTGCATAGTGAGTCCCTGCCTCAAAAAAAAAAAAAAGGGAGCAGAATGTATTTACTGGGGGAAAGAAAGTTTTTGTCAGAGAGGGACAGAAGGGGGTCCAAGTGGGTTGCCCATGATCCTGCCTTTTCTAGGGGTTTTTATAGAGCAAATCTACGAAGTGAGGCAGGTCCAAGGTGGGAAACACGGGGAACTTACAAGGTAGGCATGAGGTGGACAAAACCATGGTCAACCAATAAGATTACAATTTAATTGATCAGGTAAAATTGATTAAATCGGGATCAAATGGGGAACAGTCACATAGCAAGCGGGCATGAATACAGAACAAGGGCTTCTCCTATAGGGGGTTGGTTAGCCTGAACCGCATAGTGAGACCCTGTCTCAAAAAGACAAAAGAAAAATAAATAAAATAAATAAATAAATAAATCTTTTGTCTTGAGGCCTGGCTGCAGCAGAAGTACCTGTCTCTTCCAAAGTTGCCAGGTATCTTATTTTCCATACAGGCTTCTTTGAGGGCCTGGCCTTGTCCGACTGCCTGTGATATTTTTATCTAACTTAGCTGCCTACAGCACTACTCACTGCGTCTCCAAGACTTGACCCCAGGGCTGGGCACCAGCTGCCCTGCAGGTACTTGTTGAAAGAATGGATTCATTGTTCAGCTTCCCTCCAAGTTGCTATCAAGTGAATTTCAGGTGCAGAGTGTGATCAAAAAACGCAAATATTATTTAAGTTTTTTAAGAAGTTATTACAGTAAGAGACACATAACCATGATTTCCCCTCAAGCCCTCCCCTTTGCTTCCAACACACTTATCCCATGTTCCTGGCCACTTTCTGCAGCAGCTCTGGAGACCTCTTTCCTGAGTGTCTTTAGTTGCCCTGTCCTGGTAACTCGATGTCCTGAACTGATTCAACAGTTTCCTTTCCATGGTCATTCTGACATTGAGGAAAGAGACAGAAGTCACCTGGTGCCAGGTCCAACGTATAAGGCAGATAACGACACAGTATCATGTTTTTATTTGACTGAAGTCGCCGTAAATGGGTAATCAATGGAAGGTCTCACAACATGATGAATGTTTAAGCTAAAAAAAAATGTACCATGGTATCTGGGCATGGTAGCGCATGCCTGTAATCCCAGCACTTGGGAGGCTGAGGCAGGAGGATCATTGCCAGTTCGAGGCCAGCCTGAACTCCATAGTGAGACCCTATTTCAAAAAAAGGCAAAAAAAAAAAAAAGTATCACAGGAAAAAACACAATCATCGATCCTGTAAATCCCTTGGAACACACCAATCCTATCATCTTGGGCAATGCATCTTTTACTATAACAAACTTTCAAAGATTTAAACTCTCTATGTAATTTTTCTATCTCTCCTTGCACACACCCCAGCATGCGTGCCCTGGGAATGGAATCCTTCACCGCTCGCCCTGGTGCTGACGTTGACAAGTGCCCCACACCAGCCCGGGGGGTGTCAGTCCCCCGCCGCGGCCATCCACGCTCCCCAGGGGAGTGGCGCCGAGACCCGAGACGTGGCGTTGCCTGTGGCAGAACACAGAGCTGTTTGCAGGAGACGAGTCTTCCTAAGCCGCGTCTGCCCTCAGACCTCGGCGAGGGCGGGGCTCCTCCGCACGCCAGCTGCCGAAGCCCTTTATTATGCCCGAGTCTCGCGTGCTGAGCCTGGGGGTGATGGTGGCTGCGGCAGGCTTGACGCCAGCGTCTCCACGGGCACGCACTCGTGTGGTGACATCACCGGGCAGCGGTGCCCTCGGCACCATTATGGAGGGCCAGGGCGTCATTACCAGCCCGCAGCGCTTTGTGTGGCACTGGGCCGCCCTGCCTGCTCTTTCTAGCTTTGGGGTTTCTTTCTCGCCTCCCTCTTCTCCTCTTCCGGCCTCTGCAGCCTTCACCGCCTCCACTCAGCCCGGGAAACCAGACACGCCCTCCCAGTGCCCAGGGCTGGCAGCAGAGGACCCTGAGGACAGCAGGCTGGTGGGGGTCCTTCTCCAAGGCTCTGCACCCCTTCCTGTGGGGCCCCGGCTGCTGCGCCGCCCTCTCGGGTCCTCAGTCTTCCTCCGGCCCAGGCCCTGGCATGAAGCTGCCCTGGAGTGACTGAACGGAAGAACTAAATTAGACTCAAAGGCTCCTTCCGGGCTTGGAAGCTCTGTGACCCCGGAGCAATCGGTCGCCATTTAGACGATTTACGCCAGCTGAGAACCGTGCTGCCAGCAGCGGGGAGATCGTGTCCGCTCCTGAGTCTGGGCCCGGGCCCTTCCAGTTCTAGCACACGGCAGGAGCAAAGGGCACGAAGCAGCTGCCCAGAGCGAAGTCTGGATCTACAGCACGGCCGGGCAGAGGCTGGGAGTGGTCTGGACCGGAGAGGCCCCCACACCGGGAAAACGAACACATCTGCACCCCTTCTCCCACACACGCACACCCACACCCACACTGAGACACTGAGGAGACTGGCGGGGCCGTCAGAGCCGCCCAGCTTCAACGGTGACCCCAAAGGATGGGCCCAAGCACGCTGCCGCCCACCTGCAGGAATCACGCGGTGCTTCCGCCCATCTGACCCGGTTGCCCCAGTGCCCCTGGCTTCCTCCTCTGGCCCGTGACCACCCCAGGTTCCTCCTGAGGGAAACGCGACCAGGGACTCTCTTCCTTCCTGCACCTCCCTGGTGGGAGCGCAGGGCTCCCTGAGGAGGGGCACAGGGAAGCAACTGTGGGCTGAGGGCCGGTGGCGCAGGCCGCAATGACAGGAAAGGCAGGCAGTGCCGGGCCGGGGCTGAGTCCAAGGCAAACACACCTGGGTCTCACTTTGCGGAGTCTGGGTGGGGACGTGAGGCACTGCCAAGGCCAGGCGGACAGGGCTCCCCTCGGGGGCAGCGCGACAGCCCCCAGGGCATGGTGGCAGAGGACGGCAGGGCTGGGGCCGGGCGCTGCAGGCCGGAGCTTCCAGCCAGGGCGCTGGTGTGGCCAGGACCGCTGTCCCTGCCCCCGCCCCCGTGAGAGGGAAGGGCTGGAGGGCTGGAGAGAAGCGCCAGTCAGGAGTGCCCACTGGGAGCCACAGTTGTGTACCCAGGGCAGAGGGTCCAGGGCGGTTTTCATCAGAGGAGAGAGGGACAGAGGGGACCAGGGGAACAGTGCAGGCCACCCCTGCAGGCCGTGAGCAGAACATGGAGAACGGGCCTCTCCTTGCTTCTCAGACGTCTCCTGTCCCAGCCCTCGCCGGGCACACTCAGGGCTCCCTGTGCCAGGTGGCCAGCTGCAGCCCCGCACCTGGAGGAAGCTACCCAGCCACCTCTGCCTCCAGGCCACCCGGGTCACTGGGCTCCGCCTCCTTCTGGCCACCACTCTCCCCGTCCGCCACAGTCTGGGGTCCCCACCCCGAAGCAGCACAGGTGCCCCTGTCCAGGTCTCAGCCTCTGCCACACATGAGGCCCGGTGCAGACCAAGCAAGGGTCTGACCAAGAGAGGCCAAGGCAGCGTGGTCCCCACCACAGTGTGTGGGCTGCTGTCCTTGCTCCTGCCCTCTGAGGCTGCCCCCCACCTGCCACCTCCGCCACATGGGGCTCTCCTGGCTCAGCCACCAAGAGCACCGCTGAGCCACGGGGTGGCCCAGACACCAGGTGGCTGGGTAGCGGCTGAGCGTCCGCGCCCAGAGAGGCCTGGCTCCAGACACTGCGGATGCGGGCGTGGAAGCTCGGAGGGCCCAGCCAGGGCCAACCAGGAGCCTTGGGACAAGGGCAGACACCAGGCCAAGGGGAAGGAAGGGAACACGGAGGGGGAGCCCTGGCCTCCCGGGCAGCCCCTAGGCCAAAAGTAGAGGCCAGGTGCCCCAGGGAGCAGACTGATTCCAGGGAGACTTGTTGAGCTGCTTCAGACAGCAGGAACTGCAAGGGCCCCTGGGCTGTGCTGGCATCTGGGGACACAGGTGACAAGGAGCTCAAAGTCCAGAGGGAGAGCAGAGAGCAAGCAGCCGGCCAGCCAGGACAGAGGTGTGGGGCATGGCTGCAATCCTGGAGGCTTCCCCTGCCTGGAGGCAGCGGAGCACTGTAGTCGCCTGGAGCTTTCACCCAGGCAGAGGCCGGTTCTGGGCCGGCCCGGGGTCTACGTGGCCTCCTGGGCTTTCAGGAAGCGATTTCAGGGACACGCTCTCTGAGTCACAGTTGCACCATGCAAGGAATGTCCTCAGATCTGATTGAGCGGTGTTTTTTCCGATTCCTCGATTTCCACACTTGAGTTTCCTTCATACTTGCAGGGAACCCCACACTTATGCAATGCTGGCCTTGTGCGAAGACTGCACTTAACCCACAAGGGTCCGAACCTCATCTGCGTCCAGCCTTGGACTGGACTTTTTTTTTTTTTTTTTTGCCTTTTTGAGACAGGGTCTCCCTATGCAGTTCAGGCTGGCCTTGAGCTCACTTTGTAGCACAGGCTGGTCTTGAACTTGCAACAATTCTCCTGCCTCAGCCTCCCCAGTGCTGGGATTACAGGCATGCGCCCCCACGCCTGGTGAGGACCTGTCTTCTCGAACCCACTGAGGTTGCCATGACCTCCCCATAAAGACAGAATCGCATGCAGCTCGCGCTTGGGCGGCTGACTGTGGGTTTTGACCCTCCTCGCCTCATCCGGAAACTCCAGAGACTTGGACACCCCCAGCCCCTTCCAGCCTCAGCACACCCCACCCTTCTTACTGCTAAGTCACCATGAGGTGGGAAGGCCCAGCGCAGGGACGGGGCGGCACAGGCCCCCTCCTTCCACCTCTGGCCTTTGACCCTCAGAAAACAGGATAATCCCCACAGCGGAGCCGCAGGCCCAAGCCTGGGCCTTCCCCTCCCCCGCATGACGAAGCACTTTTGGACCCCAAGCCCCGGGGCTGGCAGAGTGCTGAGTCACCGCGGCCCAGCCCACCCTCCCGCGGCCTCCACAATCGCAGCCTGGCTCTTCCCAGGCCTGCGGTCCCTCCCCGCTCTGCCGCCCCAGGCAGCTGTTCCCGGAGGCAGGCCAGCCCCGCCCCGCCCCGCTGCCGCCTCCCCGAGTCACGAGGAGCCTCGGGCGGAGCAGGCGGAGGCCTGGTCAGCAGAGGCGCACAACAGAGCCCGTGTGGAGACGCCGAAGGCTTGGAGAGGGCAGATCTGACACCCAGGGCTCCCCAACAGTGGGGATCGGGCCCAAACAAACGCGGGTACGCCTGGGCGCATGTGTGCACGCGCACGCAAGCCGGCCGCTCCTCGCCCCAGCCGAGCAGGCCCGGGTGCTGCTGCACTGTCCACTGCAGCTGCGCATGCGCGCGTCTCCGAGCTCGGAGCCCACTGCCGCGGCAGGCGCTGCCTCCCGGGGTCCAGCTCCCCCCGGCTCTGCCCAGCTGGCTCCCACATCAGCCCCTCCACGCCTGCATTTCCTCACAACCCCTGGCCCAGCAGCGTAGCCAGGAGTCGGGGGCTCCTGCCCGCTCCCCACCCCACTCCATGTTCTCCGCTCAGCTGCCTCTCCCTGTCTGTGGGGTCCCCTCCGCGGCTCCCAGGTCTGCGGCTGTGTCCTCTGCTGTCACCCGGCTGGAACCTAGCCCTCCTGCCTGACTCGGGTCTGCCTCCACATTTGATCGTGCTTCTGCTGCTCGGGAGCCAGCGCTACATGACCAGCCCTTGCAGGATGCTAGGGCGAGGACAGAAGCAAGGCCTGCCTTGCAGGGCCCCAAGTCCCACTACGGGAGAGAGGACAACCAAGCATGCGTACCAGCCGCGATCAGCACTCATCCAGCAGGGCTGGGGGCTGGGCACATCCTCTAGTCCCAGCACTTGGGAGGCTAAAGCCGGAGAATCACTTGAGCCCACGAGCCCGAGACCACTTAAGCAACATCCTGAGGCCCTCTCTCAAAAAAAGGTGGGGGAGCACGAGGAGTAGCCAGCAGCAGAGCGCTGGCCTGGCCTGCAGAGAGGCCCTGGACGGCTCTCAGCACCACGCTAAGTGTTTACAGGTGAAATTAAATATTCCACACACATACGCAGCACTTAGGAGCTACAGGCACCAACACGGTTGTTTCCAGTGTAATTTTGTTCACTTCTGCCTCACAGCTTTTCATCTCAAGTGGTGAAGCCTGCCGGCTGTCCCTGACGGCTTCGGACAGCCCCTCCAAGGAATAACAGACCGTCTTCCGCGCGTTCTTCTCGAGTTTTCTGGGCTCCTTTTTAAGGCTTGGCTTGTTAAACACGGCATGAACCATTCTTTCCCAGGTTATCAGGTATGCAGACGTCTTCGACGAAGCCCATCCCTCCTCCCCTAACTCGAAGCACCAATTTCACGGTGGCAGCTCTGCCAACCCCACACCCGCCGAGTCTCCACGGCTCTGGGGCACTACTGTCGCCAAGCAGAGCCACCAGCTCACGGGGTGTACGGCGCCTTCTTCACAGCAGCCAGGCAAACCCACCCTCCTGACCTTTTCTCCGCCAGATGCCCTTCCCCACACAGACTTCCGTGGGGGCTTTGAGACCCGCCACGTTTTATGGAAATCGCACTGGACCTGTAGGTCTCAGGCGGCGAGCGGGCACCCTTGTAAGGCGGAGCGTGGCCATCTAGGAAGGCAGCGCTGCTTGGCCTTCGCTGGCCCTGCCTTCAGTGAGTGGGCATGCGCCATTCTCTCCCGCTTCTGCTGCCCGCACACGTGAAAGTCCGCTTTCACCTCTTCCATCTGTACACGGGGACCCACGTTCTCCCACCCTGCTGGCTTTTCTGTTGACTCAGCGGGAGTTTCTAAAACCAAAACTAGAGCGGCATGGCCAGGGTCTGCCGGGGAGGCTGAAGCACTGGTCACGGCACCTGCCCCCAACGGATCTGCCTCCATCCCACCCCTCCAGCCCCCCAGCGAGCACCCCGCATTCCAGCCCTGTGCGGTTTCTAGAACTTTTATTACGGTGCACGTTCGCAGTGTGTAACGGTTGCGTTCAGCGTGGGAGTGGGTGAGTGCACATCAAACACCTTACTCTGCCCTGCGCCTGCCCCCCTGCCTGGGAGTCCCTTTCCTGCCTTCCCTCCTCTGCTCACTACCCCAAAGCCTCCCGCCCGCGTGCGCATGTTGCCATGGGTACTGGGAGGCCCGCAGAGCCATCACCAAAGCTCCATATATATTTTTTTGTTTGGTTTGGTTTGGTTTGGTCTTTTTGAGACATGGTCTCGCAGTTCAGGCGGGCCTTGAGCTCACTTTGTAGCCCAAGCTGATCTAGAACTCTCAATGATCCTCCTGCCTCAGCCTCCCGAGTGCTGGGATCACAGGCCTGCGCCACCACGCCCGGCTTGCTCCGCATGTTTTCATCTTGGCAGAGCTGCCCTTCTAAAGAAAGACTGGGGATCCAGGTGCCATCTGTGCGTGTCCTGAGAAGGGCCGGGGACAGGCCTCCGCAGGCCTGGGCGACCTCGCAGAGGGGTCCTCCGGCCCTGCACCCCTGTCCCTCCCCCCAGAGCGGCCCGTGTGCAGAGGGCCTGGGCCGGGGCCGCGCTCCCGCGGCCGGACAGCCTCTCCAGGGCTGTAACTCGGCGGTCCCGCTTTTCAGGGCTCAGCGGTGGCCTGCGGGTCCGCGGTCCCCGAGACGCCGTGCACTCGGCGCGGCCGTGGTTTTCCACGAGGAGGCCCGGGCCGGGGTGCGGTTCTGATCCCAGCCCCGGCCCCAAGGGGCCCTGCGCTGTAGTCCCCCGCGCCCAGCCCCGGGCCGGCCCGGACCGGAGC